AAAGATTCACTGCAGTTCCCCCTGTCGTAGATAGGACGATTGTTGAGTCTCCTGACATCACAATCACAGCTTCTGCTTCAAATCCCTCCTGAACTTTATTACATAATATATTATATATATTATTAATATATTATATATTATATGTATATTATATTCTTATTAAACAAAGAGGATTTAAAATTACAGATTAATGCATTCCCACCACTGTGGCAAAAATAAAATAAACTGAAATCTAAATTAATTTGCCCTCCAGAACCAACCGTTATCCGCCTAGCAACCACTGCCTTGGTCTAACAATCAGGTACCATGGTAAAATAAAACAAAAGAAAACACCTCAAGATCTGCCAAACGATTTAAATCTGGATACAGGTAAAAAGTGATTCCGTCCCAAGCTCCAGGTAAAGTCAGCCCCCTGATGAGCAGAATCAGGAGCATCAGGTAGGGGAAGGTGGTCGTGACGTACGCTACCTGAAGGGAAGTATGCTGTCTTTAAATCATGTTGTACTTCAATGATAGAATAATAATGGGTGCAGTCTTTCCCCCATAATAACAATTACCACTCACCTTTCCTGAAGACTGCACACCTTTCCAGATAGAGAAGTAACAACAGACCCAGGAGACCAGGAGAGACAAGGTCAGATCCCATCTCACACTGCCCAACTGGTCAATACCTCCAGAGATTCCTAAAACCCTACGCCTGACCAAAGACGTTTGACAAAGAAGGTCAACACAGAGCACTGGCCACACGATAGAAACATTTAATCAATGAAGGAAATGAAATGTGACTTACTCCCAGAACTCTACTGAAGCCGGGGTGCTGCTGTTCAACATCACTGTGACAGACACATTTGTTGAAGGAAGACTGACACAGCTGACTGATGGAAAAAACACACAATAAATGATTTAGTGGAGATGTTTACATTGTTATTGTCTATTGTGTCGAACAAAAGGTCATTTAAAGGCCAGAGTACAAAATGTTTTACTCCTCAAAGATAAGAGAATCACCTATCACCGTTAGTCATCATCAAGTGTCAATGTGCAGGTGGAGGATCGTAAAGTACAGGTTTATGTTATGTTAGGTTTATGGTAAATTCTGTACATACTTCTTCCATAGACATGTTTTTTGTTACAACTTTTTCAGAAAATATATCCACACCTGTATTCCAGCTGTTGTTACAGTTGGACCAGGGCAGTGAAGGAGAGAATGAAAACCCCAGGTAGACCAGAGTCCAGGCTTGGATGATGATGTAGCAGAGGTCAAAACATTTGATCATAAAATATCCATATCCTATTCCTAGATTAAAAATCCAAGATGAAAACACAAATACAAAAATACATTTAGACTTAGGTAATACTGTAGTTACAATGACAGAGTTATTCAGAATGAATATTTAATTGTTTTTCTTAACTTAACTATGACAGAGTTATTCAGAATGAATATTTCACTGTTTTTCTCGTAATTTCGTAACTTAACAGAATAGACACAATATGCCCACTGACCTTGTGCCAGAGGACACAGCTTCCTCCAGCAGGTGACGAATCCTTCCTGGGTGTACTGACCCATCGCAGTCTCCAGCAGGAACAGAGGAATCCCGACCACCACGGCCAACAGACAGTATGGAACCAGAAAAGCTCCTGGACAAAATAAATGTAACACAAATTCTAAAAACGTCACCATAACTTAATCTAATATTTTAACTCCACCTTGATCTCTGGTTGTCATACTGTAGTTCTTCAGTTAAATTATTAATGATACTCACCTCCACCGTTCTTGTAGCAGAGATATGGAAACCTCCACACGTTGCCCAAACCCACCACATTACCTGCGACCACCAGGAGATACTCAGTTTTACTGGACCACTGTCCTCTGTCTTCAACCACTGCATTAGTGTTATTGCCCTCTGTTGATCCTCTAACCTTCCTCATCTTTAGATCGAGTCAAGATGTGAACTGAATTGATGTTTGAATATGAATAAACCACTCCTGCAGTAATGTCTATACAAAACCATCATGACTGGCAGCCAAAAGTATAGTTTGTTCACACTTGAGATCACAGCCTTCAGGGGCTTGTTCTTCTGAGACATTTCCTTAAACCTGATCCTGCCTTTTACACAACTGAGAATAAACATAATTATTAGCATTTTTTATCGATCAACAATTATTTGACATATACACATGGATCAATAGAGATGATGCAAAACACAACATATTTCCTGAGGTTGACATAACAGCTATAAGTCAATCCTGTTTTTCTCTTTTCCTTAGATAATCTTTAAAACACTGACCTAGAGAAGTATAAAATGATAAGACATTACAGATGAGACAGTGATTAAAGCTACATTTAGTCTTATACGGTCATTAAATAAACGTAGAAGAAGACAGCAGGTGTGTGTGAGTATACTGTCTTGTATTTCATGTCAGTGAAGATGTTCAACATTAACCTGACTTCGTAACTCTGTCAAAGGTTTTCGAGCCATGAGACCAAGAACAAAGACAAAGAAGCATGCAAACAAACTGCTCCCACTGTTCAAAAGACACAGCCAGAAAGGCCAAAAGGGTCAAGGCAGGCAGGAAGGAGGGCACCTCACCAAGTCACCACAAGATGTTCACTCACACACACAGTTCATTGAGCTATCAGTATTAGTACTAGGTGTTGGCAAGTACACAGGTGAAAAACCTGGTACTGGTAAATTCAGGCCAAGTTCAAGGTCAACTTTTACTTTGACCTTTGACATCAACATCATGCCCCATAGTGAAGCCAGCTGGGGTCTCAGTGTGCTCAGTGTGTTTGTTTAAAGGTATTTCCAGTATTTCCACTTATGCAGTGTGCTCAGTGTGTTTGTTTAAAGGCTGCTGTCTGTATTTCCAGTATTTCCACTTATCTATACTTATTTGAAGTATTATGTCCCCAGCATTGTTTGTTGAAATGTATGATTCTGCATGGTTGTTCTTTGCCCGAGGTAACTGTGCATAGTTTCTCATTGGATGTTGTCACTAGATGACTGAATCAAATATGAACCACGCCTTCCTTCCTCTTGGTTTAAATCTAACCAGATCCAGGACAGGATTAATATATGTCTAACACATTGATAGACAAAGCAGCAGGGAGAGACAATTATAAGACGATGGTTGAAGACAGGGGACAGTGGTCCAGTAAAACTGAGTATCTCCTGGTGGTCGCAGGTAATGTGGTGGGTTTGGGCAACGTGTGGAGGTTTCCTTATCTCTGCTACAAGAACGGTGGAGGTGAGTCATTTTATTATTTATCTGACATTTGTTCAATGAAGTCTGAAGAATATTACTGAATACATGCCATGAGATGTTTACCACTGTCATGTCTGTCTGTTTCCTTTCCCTGTTGTCTGCTTTGTGGGGTAATCTGTCTGATCACACTCACCTGTTGATAATTAGCTTCACTTGTGTCACCTGGTGCTCCCTGTGTGTATATATACCCCTCTCCCTCACTCTGTCCTTGTTTGATCATCGTTCAGTTCGTTCTGTCAGGCTGTTCGTGAGTTTCCGATTCTGTGTTTCCTCCTGTTCTGTGTTACAAAGAGAATTCCATGCCTGGTAGTTCTTTGTGTTTGGTTAATTTGGACTTTGTTAATAAAACTATCTGCACCAGAAAGAGTCTCTCCAGTACTGCATTTGGGTTCTGCCTGCTTCTTGCCATGTAGTTGCCCACACGTGACAACCACAACCTACATCCTTACATTCAGGAGCTTTTCTGGTTCCATACTGTCTGTTTGCCGTGGTGGTCGGGCTTCCTCTGTTCCTGCTGGAGACTGCGATGGGTCAGTACACCCAGGAAGGATTCGTCACCTGCTGGAAGAAGCTGTGTCCTCTGGCACAAGGTCAGCAAGGACATTAGCTTTATATTTGAAAACAGAAAGATTTGTCATGCTATTTGAATGACTTTCTGGATTTTTAAAAATGTGTTGGTGATTGCATCGTCCAGTTTTGAATGTTTTAAATTTAGTTTTACTTAATAACCTGGAATGATGGGATAAGGTGGCTTTAAATGAATAACTAAAGGAATAAATTAATCCTAATCCTAGATTTGTTTACTTGTATTTTAGGAATAGGATATGGACATGCAGTGATTAAACTGTATGACTTTATCTTTGTCATGATCCAAGTCTGGTCTCTGGTCTATTTGGGTTTTTCATTCTCATCTCAGCTGCCCTGGGCCAATTGCGACAACACCTGGAATACAGGTACATGTAAAACCGTCAAACTGAAATCTGGCAACTATGGACTAGTGAAGTTCTATAAAATGTTTGCCGTTTTTGTCAAAAAGTGCTCTTTTTACCTTTTATAAATATTTCTGTTCTGTTATTGTCACTCCTTTTTTTGTGTTTTTCTGTCACAGTCAACTGCATCAGTCTTCCGTCAACAAACTCCACTGCAAATCTGACTGCAATGTGGAACAGAACAACTTCTGCTTCTACTGAGTTTTGGGAGTGAGTCTAATTTTATTCCTTTATAAGCATAATCTTAGTGTGCTAATGTCTAATCTGAAGCCTTTAATCCCTACTTGACTAAAGTGCATTACTTATTGATATAAAAATGTAAGGCCTCTTGTACTCACATACTTTACATCTTGATGAAAAATAAATAAAATAATTAAAAACATAACACAAATAAAAAGAAAAAATAAATAGTGCAATAAACAGTGCATTTCACAAATAAACTATATAAATAGTGCAGTGACGCAAGTTACTGTCAACCAACACTCGTGGAACCGTCTTCTATGAAACCTTGTGCTGCGTTCGCGTAATGACGAAAGTTCCCATGCCCGGTTTACGAGTAATTGTTCAGACCTTTTTATGTTCATATTTATATGGTTTATGTGTAACAAAGTGGATAATGGGTAAAATACGGTGGATAAGACGTTAATATCAAGTGAAGTCACCGACTACCAAAAATTTGACCGAGTTGTTTTCAGTCAGATTTCTTTACGACTCCACCGATGCCGCTTGAACGCAGCCCTCACTTCAGGCCCTTTAGGTCTTCAAGGTATGAAAGGGAGTGCCCGGAGCGCCTGATTTAAAAACAAAAACTACCCACACCGCGATGCTGACGAAATACGCATTGTATATTATCGGGGCTAGTCGTTTTAATATCGGAATGTCATGATTCCCAAATATCAGGGCACGATAATTATCGCGCAGTTGCGACAAACTGTACATCAAAACGCATCAATAATATACAACTATTCTATCGGCTATCATTAATGTTTTAATTCGCTTTGAGAAGAGAATGTTCACTCAACAGAAGCAGCGCGACCAAGAAAAAAGATGGGAACGAGAATAATAATAATAACCCCCCACCCCCACCCAAGAATACTCTATTGTTTTATAAATAATAAATATTACAAAATAATTTACTTTAGGCCATCAGAGAAGGCCATTCTGGCCTAAATGGTGTACCATTGCTGATATGCAATTCAATACAAATATATATTTTTTGTCTGACTTGTAACTTAACTTCAAGGACGGCAATTTAAATAAATACGTTACTCTAAAAAATCCTCCCTGTACTAATCTGACGAATGTTATCATGCAATGACAATGCATAAATAATCAATCCATAACCTCTCCGCTCAGACGCAGGGTTTTGGGCCTATCTGGAGGTATTGACCAGTTGGGCAGTGTGAGATGGGATCTGAGCTTGTCTCTGTTGGTCTCCTGGGTCTGTTGTTACTTCTGTATCTGGAAAGGTATCAAGTCTTCAGGAAAAGTGAGTGATAAACATAGAAAATTAACACAATTGCATGTAAAACGTTTCACCAACAATGCTGATTTTATTTGTCTTTATCCTTTAGGTAGCGTACGTCACGGCCACCTTCCCCTACCTGATGCTCCTGGTCCTGCTAATCAGAGGACTGACTTTACCTGGAGCTTGGGATGGAATCTCTTTTTACTTGTACCCAGATTTTAATCGTTTGGCTAATTTTGAGGTATATTAGAATGATACGGACTATGAGTGTGTTTTGTTAAACATGCATGTGACACCTGTTCTGTTTTATACCCAGAGCAAAATTATAAAAGCAAAGTGTATAAAAGATCTTTTACAAGAGTGCATTTGTTTGTTTTGTTTTTAATTATTAATTTCATATTTTTATGACATGGCAGGTCTGGATAGAAGCAGGATCTCAAATCATCTTCTCCAACAGTTTGGCCTCAGGAACCTTACTGGTTTTAGGCAGTTTTAACAAGCACAGAAACAACTGTTACAGGTTAGTAACGAGGAGGGGTTTTCATCTGTTAAATAGTAAATCATACACAAATAAATTAAACATTCATCTTCGTCAAATATTTCACAGTGTTGAGTTACAGAAGCAGCAGGAAATTTAGTTGTCACAGAAGAAAGTGACCAATGTTGCCTTTAAATCTTAAATAGATCCTGTAAGGGTTATCTCAGCTAATGTTGGCCATCAGTGGGTGAGAAAATCCTCATGTCACACATGTTCTATTCATTCAATGTATAAATGATCATAATATCCTCCACAGAGACTGCTTCTGGCTGTGTCTGTTGAACAGTGGGACCAGTTTCTTTGCAGGTTTTGTCGTTTTCTCTGTTCTTGGATTCATGGCTCACAAGCAGGGAGTCACTGTTGACAATGTAGCTGACTCAGGTAAAAGTCAATATTTGAAAGGAAGATGACAAGCAGTTTTATCTTGTTAAAAAACTAATGATACTAATCAAACACCGTGCTGTGACTCCCAGGTCCAGGCTTGGCCTTCATTGTTTATCCTGAGGCCACAGCTATGATGCCTTTGCCTCAGTTCTGGAGCGTCTGCTTCTTCCTGATGCTCTTCTTCCTCAGTATTGACACGCATGTAAATCTTTCTGCAGTAAAAATCCAATCCAGTGTGTGTGGATGAGACAACCCAAGTTTGTAATGCACGAGCACATGTGGGCCACACTGCTTGGTCAGATAGTTACACCCTCTTTGGGCGCTAGTTGTTTTCCATTCTGTCAGATAGAGGGGAAAAAAAACAACCATTCACACTAGTATTTACACTAACATTCACATCTATGGTCATTACTGGCCCCAACGTTAAATTATTTTTTTTAATTTTACAAGACTTTTTGGGGTGTATTTGGTTTCTGAAAACTAGTTGATTCTGCAATCTGAACTCTATTTTTTTTTTTCTTTAACTGGTTTCCAGTTTGTGACAGTCAAGTGCTTCATAGCCTCAGTCACAGACGTGTTTCCTGAACACTTGCGCGGTCCAAAGAGGTCTGAGCTCTTTGTTCTGGTCGTCTGTTCGCTCTTCTTCCTCTTACACCTGCTGCTGGTCACTGAGGTGAGCAAAAACAGGTTTTCATGAAACAATTCTCCTTTGTACACAACTTTAAAAACCTTTTTTTTCTGTTGTAGGGAGGACTCTACATCTTTCAGCTGGTGGATTATTACGGCTGTACCAGGGTCTGTCACTACTTCATGGTTTTATCAGAGTCTCTGGCTCTGGCCTGGTGCTTTGGTGAGAAAATACACAACTATACATATGTTTATATATATATATTTATATATACTGTATAAATAGCCACTGCTGTGTACCTCAAACACAGCATAATCATAATCTGACTTGACTGGTTACAGGGCTTGAAAACAACACCAGAACTTCACATTTTTGTTTCAGGTTGTGATCGAATTGTTAACATCATTGAAGACATGACGGGACACAGACCCTCCATCTTCTTCAGCGTGTGCTGGAAATACATTATATCTATGTTGGCGCTGGTGAGCTTGGTTTGTCATACTGTGCTGCTTCATTTAGTAAAAACAAACAGCTGCATTTAAAGTTTTTTTTTTTTTTTATTTGACTCCTGACAGACTTCCTTGATCCTCTACCTGGTGGACTACACACAACTGAAGTTTAACAAGTGGTACGTCTACCCTGACTGGGCCCATACTGTGGGGTTGATGATGACCCTCTCCTCTGTTCTCATGGTTCCACTGTGGGCTGTTGGACAGATGTGCGTGACACCAGGAACCTTGGTCCAGGTCAGTGTGTAGACGAGTCTCTGATTCAACTCTGTGTATAGTGTTATTCAAGTGAAGGTGTTGTCATAACCTCCATCTTTGGTTTTCCCTTCAGCGTTGGAAGACCCTTTGTCGTCCTGCTAAAGAACCGGTCAGGTCCAGCAATGAACAGGAGGGGGCGACGGATGTGGGTCTGATGACAACAACAACAGTGACCACATGAACTCAGATGTTTCATTGGTTATACACTTTGAACGGACACTTTTGAACGGACAATGACTTGTGTAAGAGCTGCATGTATCATCTGTCACCACTACTTCTCAGTTTTAAAATGTTCTTTGTTCAGTTTCTATCCCATCAAACAAGTGCAGTTTGTGGAGTTCCTAATTTATGTGCAGTAGAACAGGTCCTGTCAGAGTGAAGCAGCTAAACTCTGAGTCAGAGTCTTAAATCATACCGTAGGATTTTAATTCAAATAAAGGATTTTGTCTTATTGTTAAAAAATGACTTTCACTTTGCTTAACAATCTGAGGTGGGGTCATGTGCCCCCCATGTTGTGACTGATGTCTGGAGTTGGTGTCTCAGGCCTCCAACAGGTGGTGGATGATGACTGACGTGGCTGACTCTGCTGCTGATGGCCTCCAGACTGCAGTCTTAAAGTCCAGCAATCTGAGAATCACTGTCTGATGGTGGTTGATCCCCCCCACACCCCCCCCCCAAAGAACGAGATTCATGTTAATGGAGTTAACAAGTAAAGAGCCTGTGCAGAAAAAGCAATCTATATATAGTAGGTGGCACTGTTCTGTAACCATGGAAACACTACCATGTATAAAGCCCAGACTACAGAACTGGTCTTTGGTGGATTCCAACCAAACCCCGTCAAACTGCTGGATTCTTCTCTCATACTGTTAGTTGATTAATGTCGATGCTCAGGCTGTGTGGTATTTTTTGCAGTTCAAGGAAAAGAAAGTGAACTATTTGTCATTGTGACACAGCGCACCCATCACCAAAGTGAACAGAGGGCAGCTTTAAGTCCCCAAGGAGCAGCAGAGTAGTTCAGTGGTAACTTGGCAGCCGGTGGACTTGAACCAGGAACTTTCCAAACCCAGTCTGCCACCTTAACCACAAAGCCTCCACAGTTTGAGGAATAACCTGTTCAACAACTTTGTTTCGATTTGTTCCTAATGTTAAAATTTTGGCTTATCTACTTTCAACGTGAAACATTTTTCTAAAAAGTCAACACAGAGGCTCAGTCCAGACTTTGGGAAGGGACAGCTGAGCTGAGGCTGACCTCAGTACAAGCTGTGGAGACACTGAGAGAAAACCCAATTTGCACGATGAAAAGATGTCTACAGGAAGTTTTAGAAGGAAGAGTGGAAGAGTTTTCTTTTTGTGTTTTTAAAGGGACGGAAGTTCATGTGTGCTCATGTAGATCATGTGGCTCTTTGCAGTAACACTGCAGCCCATGATATACATGAACATATTTTCTGTCTTGGCGCAGACAAGTAGTTAGACTAGAGACAAGTCCTGATTGGTCGCCTGTGTTTCTTCATTAGTAACAATGCAAAGCATCAAGGTATTTGTCAGGTACAACAGGTGTATCGAGTCAGAGCTCAGGCACATTGTCTTCCACTCAGCAGAGGACGTGAGCTCCCTCAGTGACACGACACAAGATGAACAGGGAAATCAGGAAAAAAGAAAACCAAAAACGAGGTGGAGACAGAGGACAGTGGTCCAGTAAAACTGAGTATCTCCTGGTGGTCGCAGGGAATGTGGTCGGTCTGGGGAACGTGTGGAGGTTTCCTTATCTCTGCTACAAGAACGGTGGAGGTGAAGGAATTACACCTGAATTTTCTGTTCTTCAACCACAGCTCTGTGTCCCTGACAACACATCTCTCTGTGTCCAGGAGCGTTTCTGGTTCCATACTGTCTGTTTGCCGTGGTGGTCGGGATTCCTCTGTTCCTGCTGGAGACTGCGATGGGTCAGTACACCCAGGAAGGATTCATCACCTCCTGGAGGAAGCTGTGTCCTCTGGCACAAGGTCAGTGGAAAGTGTTTATGCTAGTCCACCAAGCCTTAAAGTGATATTTAAGATATAGTTGCAATTTTCCCGTTCACACAGTGTCGAAAAAAAAAACATCTTAGCCTGTAAAAAATGAAATCCTTTAATTTGGTTTTATTTTAGCCTACAGGCTATGCTTGAATTTTAGGGTTATTTTCAACAGTTCAACACTTTGGTAACTGAATAAATGTACTGTATCTTTGGGTCATGAAGTAAAAAATAAAACAAAAAAAACCCACTGAATTCAGAGCTCTTCTTAACTCAAGCTTCTCTGCCAGGATGCTGACGAACAACGCCATGAAAGCAACTTTATTTTTGGATTTAAATGCCACCAGACTGGAGATTCAATGAAAATAAAATGTTCCTTCTTTATTTTAGGAATTGGATATGGATACTTCATGATGAAGGTTTTTGACTTCAGCTATGTCCTAGTCCAGGTGTGGGCGCTCTTCTACCTGGTCTGCTCCTTCCAGTCGGAGCTTCCGTGGGCCAACTGTGGCAACACCTGGAACACAGGTGGAGTCAGGAGATATAGATTTCAGTGCCAGGTGTTCGACGGTGTTGACAGTGAACGATGTCACGCTTTAACTCTTTGTCCCTGATACAGAGAACTGTGTCGGTCTGGAGCCCTACAATTCCACCAATCTGACCGTGAGTCTGAACAACACCAGCTCTGCTGCAACTGAATTCTGGGAGTGAGTCTCAGTGTTAAATCACCTCATCGTCGTCTTCTTCTGTGGCACCACAGCCCAGATCTCCTCCTCCTCCATCAGTTGCTCCGATGTTCTCCAGATAAAAGTCTGAACATGTTCATCAAATGTTTCTTGTCTTTGTCACCTTTGACCAGACGACGGGCTCTGGGCATGTCTGCAGGTATCGAAGAGCTCGGCAGCGTTCGATGGGAGCTGGCTCTCTGTCTTCTGGTCAGCTGGGTCTGCTGCTACTTCAGCATTTGGAAAGGCGTCCGATCATCTGGCAAGGTCAAGATAGCCTCCAGAACCGGTTCCTGTTACTGTTGTGTTTCACCAACCAGATCATTCGGTGGACGCAGGGCTTTAAATACCGCACTATTTCAAATCCCTGTCTTTGTGTAGGTAGCCTACTTCACGGCCACGTTCCCATACGTGATGCTGTTGATCCTCCTCATCAGAGGCCTGACTCTACCAGGAGCGTGGGACGGAGTCGCCTACTACCTGTATCCAGAGGTGGAGAAGCTGGCCAACCTTGAGGTCAGTAGTTAGACACAGACACATGATTTATTTTACTATCAGTAGAAATCTACAGACGGGGTTCATGAGCGACGACTACAACAAAAACCCTGCAGATGAACAGGTGTTTGAACATCTGGTCTCTGATGTTACAGGTCTGGATAGAAGCAGGATCTCAAATATTTTTCTCCTACAGCCTGACCATAGGAACGCTGAACGTCCTGGGCAGCTACTGTGAATACAACAACAACTGTTACAAGTGAGTGAAAGAGCTCCGACGGTTCAAAAAACCTTTCACTAATTTAATCCAATTTGTTGAATTTGAAATGAACTGAAACTGAAAAACGGAGCCACTTGATCCTGAGCCAAAAATAAAAGATTTGAAATGTGTAATGAAAGATGGTAGGACTTTGACAACATACCTGATCAGATAATAACAGGTCACACACCCATGGACAGAAATGTGCCTCAAGGAACTGTGTCAGAATGTTCTGGAATGTTGCTTGAAGCCAGTGCGGTTGTGTGACCTGTGGCCATGAAACCACGGTAAACGCAGCAGTGACGGAATTTTCATAAGAAAATTCCTTTTCATATGAAAGTGAAAACCAACAGAATCTCTGTGTCTGTCTTTGTCCTCCAGAGACTGTTTCTGGCTGTGTCTGTTGAACAGCGGGACCAGTTTTATTGCCGGGTTCGTGGTCTTCTCTGTTCTTGGATTCATGGCTCAGAAACAGGGCGTGAGCGTAGACAGTGTGGCGGAGTCAGGTACTACAACCAAGGCTAAACATTTACAGGAGTTAAATTTGAGAACGTCACTGGTTCTGTGTTTGTTCAACCACACTGGACAGGTCCGGGGTTGGCCTTCATTGCTTACCCTCAGGCGACAGCCATGATGCCGGTCCCGCAGCTCTGGACCGTCTGCTTCTTCCTCATGCTCATTCTTTTGACTGTTGACACACATGTGAGAGGATGCTGCTCCATCAAACACAATGAAATAAAGCCTGGAATGATTACTGTGAAACTCACTCTATTGCTACTTCCAGTTCGTGACAGTGGAGAGTGTCATCACCTCCGTGAGCGACCTGTTTCCACGGCTGTTCCACGCAGCGGGACGACACGAGATCTTCGTCCTTGTGATCTGCACATCGTTCTTTTTCCTTCATCTCACCCTCGTCACTGAGGTGAAGAACAGAAAGTCAAAGAAACGTAGGGACACTTTCACTCCCTCAGATTTCATCTTTATTTTGCTGTCGTTGCAGGGAGGAATCTACGTGTTCCAGCTGATTGATTATTACGGCTGTACCAGGGCATGTCAGGATTTCATGGCTGTGTGCCAGTGTGTAGCTATGGCCTGGATTTTTGGTGTGTAGAAACAAAAACCGTCAAACTTCTGGAGAATGTGTTTATGTTACATAACAGCTAACGGCGCACTTTGGAACGTCCACCAGGTGGCGACCGCTTCTCCAACATTATTAAGGACATGACCGGACAGATGCCGTGTGCTTTCTTTAAAGTTTGCTGGAAATACATCATCCCTCTGCTGTCTCTGGTAAGACCTAGCACTGGAAACATTTCTCCACCTGACTGCAATACAAAGACGGTACAAATAAACAGATGCCGTCGTCTGTTGTCTTCTTCTTGACAGATTTCCTTTGTTTTGTACCTGGTCGATTATCAACACCTAAAGATCAACGACTCGTACGTCTATCCTGACTGGGCCAATGCACTGGGGTGGACCATGACTCTGTCCTCTGTCCTCATGGTGCCACTGTGGGCAGCAGGACAGATGTTTGTGACTCCAGGAACTTTTGTACAGGTGAGAAATATAACAAGGAGGAGATGATTTAAACAGTTCAGGGGATGTTGAAGGCGACCCAGCACAGATCCTTGAGGAACTCCACAGTCATCGACTATCAAGGTACAAATCTAGACCCAGGAAGTGGTCTAGGACACTAACTTGTTTCCTGTTTTAGACTACCCTCTATCGTCCTGCGGAAGCTCCAGCCTGTCGGTCCAAAAATGAAAAAATGAAAGAGAGCGAGGAGGTGACAGTGGAACTGAGGACACTGGATGTGACCAATCAGGATCACCTGTAGACCACGGTGTGGTGACTACACACTGAAGTTCCCACTGTATTTTTACCTTTTATTGCATGTGGAAGTAGTGTTTATTAACATAACTTTATGTTTGAAGTACAAAATAAATGGAGAAAAGATGTAAATGTTTGAAGTACAAAATAAATGGAGAAAATCAAGATGTAATGATGATTTATATGAATTCTGGGGCTAAAGGACCACTGACAGCTGGTCCAGACCTTCAATGACCTTCACCTGGACAGGTCATGTGTCTACGGCAGCCCTCGGGGACCAAACGGTTCTGATCAGTGACAGACAGCAGACATTCATTCTCCAGACACTTTTATTACATATTCACATTTTCGGTTGCTAAAAACAAGTTTCAAAATAGAAAAAAAAAACAGTTCCAGGTGTAACAGGTAAGAAACAGTCCAACACCATCTTCTCTTATTTCTTCTGGAAGAATCCCATAATGGACGCCTGCTTAGTTCCTTTGTTTGTGTTTGCAGAAGTCTTCTTCTGGCTTTTCTTCTCCTCCTCCTTGTTGTTACCGGCCGCGTGGAGTTTTGCCGTGGAACATTTGGTCGGAGCTTGTTTGACGGGAGCCTCGTCTTCCGCCTCAGAGTACGACTCACTCTCGTAGACTTTCTCCGTCACTGGAAACACAGGAACCACAGTCGGTGAAATATTCTTGGGATTCCACGTCTATGTAGAGCAGTGGTTCCCAACCACTGGGTCGTGGCACACACCAGGTGTACAGTGGAAAAACTTATCTTTTTTAAATTTAAACTTACATAGATTTCTGTCTGTTAAAACCAAACTAACAAATGGTAAAAAAAACTGCTTTAGAAAATTGTAGAAAAACATTTACCAAATCTGATCCCACTTCTATCTAACCCTTGTATTTTATTTTATTTTGTAGTGGCAGAAGTTTCATTTTACTCTTCGTGGTTAGATCAGCTGTCTGGTAAAATCCGGGATGTGGTTGACAAAGTAGAGGGCGTGGCACTGTTAGGGTGCGGGCGAGGCGGGCGTTGGCAGAAGCTACATCATTTTTCATTTGAATGTTTTTGTTTGTGCCACAGATCTTTTCACGCAGAGACAGTTTTTGAACCCACAGCTTTCGGGCAGTTATGGTAAACAACATGTCAATAATAAAGGTTTGTTACTACATCAACCCCTGCAGCTAACAGTAGTATTTACAAATTACTGCATGGCAACCACACCTGTCAACATCATTAAATGTGACCTTTATGTTTATCACCAGCATGAACACAGAGTTGTCAGTCCTTCTCTTTCTCATCTACATATTTATATCTTAATACTTCAGTGATTACGTTTCTTCCTGTGCACTCAGCTCCTGATTTTAGACGACAAATCTCAACATTTAAAGGATAAGTTTCCCGCTCACCGATGCAGCCTTCATCATCCACAAAAGTCTTGGGTTTCAGGACTCGCCTCCGCTTCCTGATCTTAGTTCCACCAGGAACTGACTGTTGGGACAAAATACAGAGTCAGCCAATTAAAAAAAAAAGTACTTACAGTAAAAATAAATTAAAAAGAATTAATAATAATAATAATGAAAAATTAGGTTAAACACCTACATGTGAATGTGAAACAGATTCAAACTCTTTCTGAGGTGGAGTTGGAGGTGAAGGTGAATTCTGTGGTGGACTTGGAGGTGGAGGTGGAGGTGAAGGTTCTGGTTCTTTCTGTGGTGGACTTGGAGGTGGAGGTGAAGGTTCTGGTTCCGGTTCCTTTGTCTGCATTGGCTGTGGAGAATCTGGAATAACTGCACAAATGAACAGAAAATGTGCATCAATCAGTTGATTTGTACTGGGAATGCCATCCTGGAAGTTCCCAACAGTGTGTCTAAATAACAACATGTGACTACTGTGTGGTAAATGTGAACTTAAAAGTGTTAAAAATCTCAACAAAATATTAATTAAGTCACAAATGCAATGATGAAGAACTTCTCACTGTCTTCATCGCTGCTGTCTGGTTCTGGTTTCTTTATCCTTCGTCTCTTTTTCTTGTCCATTTTTTCCTCCTCACTGTCGGAGTCTACAGTTCTCTTGGTTTTGCTTGAAAACAAAAATGAAGGATTCGACTGTTAATGAAAGGTTTTCACAGCTGCAGCATTGACAGGTTTGTTTTGTTTTTGTGATGACTGCATCATAAAAACCTCCTGGACTCTTTCTTGCTGCCTTTAGTCGACTCTTCTGCTGCAGCTTCTGGTTTCTTCTCCGGCGGTGAACTCTGATGCTGCTGCTGCTCTAATCTGCTCGATGACTGAAGACTTTCATCTGCTTTATCACTTTTGTTTGGTTTCTCTGACGTTGAACAAAAAAAAAATCCAAGATGAATTTTACCAACAGAAAAAAAAAACTGATGCTACGTGAAGGAAGTGAAATGTTTCTCACTGGTCTTTTGATTCCCAAAGAAGTTCAGTGCTGGACTGACTTTAGCAGCTGCCTTGCTTTTAGGAGGCTCAACCTGAAAACATATACAAAAATACATAATTCACTTCTATCTCTGGGCTAAAGGAACAAAGAGCAGCTGGTGAAACCGTACCTCAGGTTTAACCACTTCCTTCTGCTCCAGTTTAACCTCAGTGACACTGTCCTGGTGTTTGGGAGCTGCTTTATTTGAAAACATTCCCATGATGCCTTTTTGCGATTTGGTGGACGGTTTAGATGGATGACTTGCTTCTCCATTCACAGAGGGCACTTTCACCACAGGCTCTGGTGTGGGAGCAGGCTGACGTTCTCTGGCCTGTTGAAGCTCCACAGACGACAGAGGAACCGCACTGGTGCAGCGGATTGCACTGTATCTGCAGAAGAAGAGAAAGGTACACTTTTATGTGCGTAGAACGAGGTAGAAACATTAGGAGACAACGAGCAGAATCCACAGGCAGTACTTGGCACAGCTCTGAAGGTGGTCTCTAACTGCATCATAGTCCACACTGTAGAGGGGGCTGCTGTCTCTGAGTAAGGCCTTCTGGACACTGTAGACGTGCACGCTGACAATCAAGCTCATCCTGGCTTTACAATCTGAGAAGTAACAGGAAGTCAGCTGAGCTCACACTTCCTACATGGACAGACAGAGGGACTCTTCATACCTTCCAGTTGGTCTTCTCTAACTACTGACACCAGGTGGCTCTGGGGAACAAACGCAGCGTCAAAACTCAGGCAGCAAACACCGGATTCTTATGTGCAAACGCTGAAGAATCAAACTCACCGTCTGGCCTTTGTCCACGAACTTCCCTGACACGAGGTAGGTGGCGTGGAGCTGGGCAGAACTCTCCTTTCTCTTGTGGTCCAGGTAGTGGTACAGCATTCTGAAGATGAGGGCAGCAGACGTAGTATTACACAGAAAACACAATCAAAGAAAAAAAAACCTTATTATTTAGTAAGTTATGTTGCTTATTTCGTTTCCCTTTTTTAACGAGAGCCCATAAAGAGTTGGACAAACACTCACTGTTTGGCTGTGTTCACATGAACTCCGAGTGTCAGACTCAGCCATTTGTAAGTGACCTAATAAAAACAGAACAATACTGTTAATGTCTGACTTCAGTTAAAAAATAATACATGAATTAACTGTCTACACAAATAGTTTCTGCCTACTTTTCCGACAAAACATTTTGGCTTAAAACACCATTAAATCACAATGTGTTGGTTATAACACAGTCAACACTACGACGATCATTCCGAGGCCAAAACGAATGCAATCTTTTCGTCAAGGCCAGGAACATTTACAAGAACAGAAACATATTGTTACATATATTATTGTGTATTTGTTGTAGTGAAAGGATAGTCCGTGTTATCAACGTAATTTAGCAGCTAACGTATCGGAGGAGCCTCGGTTTCAACGATCTAAATCTCCCATCATTGTGAAAGCGTTTCCTCACTATTTTATCGTGGTCGTTCACATATTCGTCAATATTGTCCAAATAAAGCTCGTCCATTTCGTCTGTGTCCGTTTGTGAGATTCAACTACGCGGGAATGGGGTTTATTTACTTCCGGCAAAATGTCACGTTTCATTTCATTTCCTGTTTCCTATGAGACTAAGAAAATGAGGCCCGACCCCTATCGGCTGGGATGTGGTACAACTGGTGATGAATGAATATGAGTACGTTATTATGAATCCATATTTTTTGTGTTTCTGTCCTGTAGATACTCCTTAATTCTGATTGGTCTGTCTGTAGTTAATTAAGATAATGGGATTTCATTCTCTTAAGTATTTTTGTTATTGTTTTAAAAAGGAAAGATCTTTTCATGTGAATATGACATTTTATGGCTCGACCAACTATTACTAACTAATGCCACAGAGTTAACTTCAAACTCTGTTGTGACAGTTAATTATCATGGACATCGGTAACAGAGAGACGAGTGGACAGGACGTTCTGTGAGCTGTCAGCTGAACAGCCTAATTTATTTGATCATTTCTGCAACAATCTGTGCCGACGTTGTTTGTCTCAGTGATGTCTTTACCTCACGTCGAACAGTTCACACACACAGAAATTTGAGAAATGTCTTTTTTTGTTCCTGTGATTCTAAAACACCTGTTTCTTTTCAGAGATGATGAAGGGAAACGTTAGGCGACATTTCCAAAGACAGATTACAGAACAAAATCACAAACAAAGTTTTTTATGTGAATGCTTGAATTACTCACAATCAGATAGCGTTAGATGTTTGATGTGAGGTTGGTTCAAAGCCCCGGTGATGGATTTCTGTTATCAGCAACAACCTCATGCCTGTGGGCAATTGCAAAGTCTAAAAAGGATAAATATTCTTTTTATTGATGCAGAAACTTTCTGCGTCCTCTGCTGCTCTCTGGCCTCTGATATCACACTCGGTCTGCTGCGGAGCATCGGACCAGGAGAACGAGAGAGAGAGAGAGAGAGCTCTGGTCTTTGAGAAATGCATAAGCAATGTATTCAATATCTCTCCGTCTGCCTGCAGATGCATTTCAGGGCCTAAGCTCAGTGACAGGCCTCAGGATTACCCCGATGAAAAATTCAGATTGCTTTTAAAGATTTGAAACCTCCAAACACCAGCTGCTCTGTGACACAGACCTGTGAATGTGTGTGAATGTGTGTGTTATCTTTTTAAACCCGTCGCTGCCCACCCCCTCAGCCGTGCCAGGCTGGTCATCCCAGCTCTGATGGAGCAGGCCTGTGTGAAATAACATGTCGGGATCAGACCCACACGGGCTGTGGTCCGGCCCGGACTCTGTGATTGGACTGAAGCTCCTGTGGGCAGTTCTGGTGGGTGGCCCTGAGGCAGGACCCAGAAGACAGAGGGTTAGTGTGAGAGACAGAGAAAGAGGGGGAGGGAGGGGGGGGGTGGCAGTGCAGCTCCACTAGGGGTCGCTAACAGCAGATCCTGCTCCTGTTCATCCCAGTTCTGAAGTGGACCACGTTGTGACCACATTAATAAATGTGAGTGAAGTGAGTCAGTTCTGGCTGCAGCAGCGACCCGTGCCCGGCCCCCACCCTCCTGTTCCACCTCTAATCCAATGAAATGTTGATGTGGTTTAAATAATGCCGGCGCTGCAGGTTTGGATCGCAGACGGCGTGAAGGTCAATCATTCCACGGGAAAAAGAAAATCTGTTTTCTGGCCAATTAGATCCTGTGACCTTTTGACCTTTGGCCTGATTGTCCACCTGTTCTGCTGCTTCCAGTCTGATGAATAATCCACCGGTGAATGTGCAGCTATTGTGCCATGAAGTCACTGTTACTTCAACATCCAAATGAAGACTCAGCCTGGACCCCCCCCTCCATCCTTTACCCCCACCAGGAGGCGCCTCTCTCCGCCCTCAGCCCTGTGTGGCTGACATTGATAAGACCAGGCTAATGTCTCCTCACTCTGGAGCTGCACGGGGAATGATAAACACAGGCCGAGCCGCGGACCACTCCATCAGGACCACAGGAGCTGGAAGCTCGCCGCCGCGGCTATTGTTGGTCCACAATGGAGGTGAGCGCCGAGACGGCTGAACTCCTGCCCAGGTGCTTAAAACAAAAGAGCGGGCGCTGAGAGGCGAACGCAGCGACTTAGCGGGAACAACGGCCGTGTCATAAATGAAATGTCAGGATTTCAAACACAGGCTGCCGGGTCCAGACTGTCAGAGAGTCCTGGGGGAGACGTGATGACAAGTCCGTTGTCAACAGCAAGAAATAAATACAAAAAAAACTCAGTTTGAATCCCAGTTAGAAAACAACACAATGACATCCCTCTGGTCAGGAAACTCTTCTCCACACAGATCATCGACTCAAGATCTCAGGATTTTATAAAAACTTCCTGGCAGAAGCTTTTAATTTGACACAGATTCTAATGGTTGAAGATGAAGTTTTAAATCCCTGAAGAGAACGGCTCTTCACCTGATGATGGACCTGCGCTCCATCCACTTCTACAGTTTGGACCAATCACTGTCAGGACGGAGGTTTAACAGACATATCATAGATCATTTATATTAAATATGTTTCTATCAAATGTTGAGAAACCTTTTTTCGTTGGTCAGATTCCAGATCATTCTGAGATGAGGGTTAGTTTGGATTCTTCACACTTTGAATCCTACTCCTGAAATACTGCAGCTGTAACCGTGGTAACGTGAGCAGAAAAACTTTAAAAAAATAATCAATTTTATGTAAATGCTGCTTCAGATATAACTTGATATTACAAGCGTGAACACAAGACGCTCATTTGAATATTCATTTTCTGAGTGGATTATCAGACTCAGTTGACCCTGACCAAATCACGCCTGTATCTTTGAAATTCACCACGGCACTTCCTGTTTTAATAGATGCTAATGTGAGACTTAATGTACAGCTCCGCCCCCGGCACTGTGACATGTGACCGCACCCATTTGGACCCTGCTCCGTGTCATTGAGTTCAGCGATGATAAAACTCCACCTTCATCCTTCTCAGCAGTTTCCTCCACCAACGTCCACCACACCTTCAGAGACTCTGACATTCTCTGGATGACGCAGCTGCGGCCACAGATCAGATCAACGTGAACATTCCACCCAGGCCGCCCGAGGCGGCCGCCGGCCCCATCCACGGCAAAGGAAACAAGAAAA